TGACCTCCTGTATACCAGGCGAGGGAGTCAACATCTCGCTACCACTCTCCTCACCCCCGCCCCCCTTTCTCATCTCTCTCCCTCTCTCTCCAGAGGTATCTGATCAAGAGAATCCCCTGCACGGTGAACCTCTACCAAGGGGTTATCTCTGAACTCCGTGACCCCCAGCGGTCGGAGCTGAGACCCTGGTTCTATCAGAAGTGTACGGAGCTGGGCTTCCGTGAGTATCACACCGTGGAGATGCACGTATATAGCTATAGACAGAGATAGACACATCTACATAGAGATACACAGAGATAGAGTAACATGAAGATAGCGAAAGGCACTATGCAGGTGTACAGTAGAGTCTCGATTATCCACGCTAATGATGGGAAAGATGGCCGGGGATAATTCAAAATGGCGAATAATAAAAAATATTTAAGCATTCCTTCTAGACCACAAACATAGGTATACATTATTTTTAAGTTAAGAAAATTTTGTTTGTTAATAAACCAAACTAAAATGTGTAGTAAAGAATATATTGATGTTGCTTTATTACAGAAGTCCATAAAAAAACACACGCTCATGTGAAAAGTTTTGTAAAATCCTTTAAATTTTAAACAACCATCCTTCAGAGTATCTGCCATCGCACAGTTTCATTAATTAAAACTCACAAAATAAATGATCGGATAAATCACTCAAAATAAAGCACGAATGACGATCTCGATTGTTCATCTTTCAATTTAGAACGAATACAAATGATCGAGAGATCAATGATGCGCATGCTCAGTGATAATAATAACACCTTCCTGGCTACTGCTCAGCAGAAAACTCGGCCCACTAAGTGGATGATAGCAGCAAAGCCACGCCAATCAACATCAATCAAACTCCGCCTCACTGTTGTATAGATATTGCAACTACTGTACTGTAGGGGCGATCACGTGGATTTTGGATGAACCATGAGTAACTTATTTGTTCGGTTTAAGCACCATGTGACTTTTAATAAGCATATCCAAGGATAACAATGTATAACAATGTTTTTAGATTATTAATTTGGGCTTAAGGGATAATCCATGACTCATTAATTAATGTCAAAATCTCAGGTGTGCTGTTAATCCGCAAATTAGATAAAACGCACCTGGATAATCGAGAGTCTACTTTATACGTAGCAATACAATGGGCTGCCCAAACAGCTTATGTTTGGTTTGGTGGGTGGGTGAGTGAGTGTGTGCGTGAGTGAGTGAGTGAGCGAGTGAGTATGCAAGTGAGTGAGCGTGGAGTGTGTGAATGAGTGAGTGTGGAGTGTGTGAATGAGTGAGTGTGGAGTGTGTGAATGAGAGAGTGAGCGCGTGAGTGACAGCACGAGTGACTGCATGGGTGGGCGTGCGAGTGGGTGAGTGGGTGGGTGAGTGAGTGTGTGAGCGTGAAGTGTGTGAATGAATGAGCGAGCGAATGAGCAAATGTGCGAGTGACTGAGTGGGTGAGTGGCTGGGTGAGTGAGCAGGTGAGTGGGTGCGCGTGTGAGTGAGCGAGCAAATGAGTGAGTGTGCGAGTGACTGAGGGAGCGAGAGAGCATGCGAGACAGTGAGCGTGCAAGCGAGGTGCGCGAGGGATTGAGCGAGCGACCGACTGAGGAGTGACAGAGTCACCATCTGACCCGTTTCCCGTGGCTTGACCGCGCGAGCAGTCCAGACATGCCGCCCCCGGGAGGGCTGCCCCTTCTCCAAGCTGCTGTCCCTCGAGACGACCGCGGCGATGTGCACCGATACCTTCGGCCTCACCCAGCAGGATATGGAGCGCGGAGTGGAGTCCACCAATCGCATGTTCGGAGGCGATCGCCCCACGGGGAGCCGCCTGCTGTTCGTCAACGGTGAGCCCCGGACGGTCATTGCGGCTCGCCACGGTGGCTAGGTAGATGTTGTCTCCCTCCCCCGGGTACGTAGAAGGTCGTGGGTTCGATCCTGACGATTCCTGCTGCTGTATATTTGGAGTCGGTGTATCTCTGTCCCTCCGTTTTTTTCCCCTCCACATTGAGAATCAACGTCATGCGTTTATTATAGGTATTTGGCTGCTGCTATGGAGTTTCACGTGGTGGTGATGATGATGATGATGAAACACTTCCTTGAGCTACAGAGCCCAGTGGGCCTTACCTGGTAAAAAAAAATTAACGGGGTCGTGGGGTCAGCTTCGATCATTTGGGATATTGAATCGGTCACTTAGCCACTAACTCACCCATTCACTCACACACTCACCTACCCACTCACCCTCTCACTCACCCACTCACTCAACCATTCATTCAACCACTAACCCACACACTCAGTCACCCACTAACATACCCATTCACGCACTCACTCACACACTCAATCAACCACTCACTAATCCATCACTAACCCACTCACTCACCCAGTAACCTACCCACTCACCCACTCACTCACTAACGCACTCATTCACCCACTCACCCACTCACTCATCCACCCACTCACTCACCCTCTCACCCACTCACTCAACCACTCACCCACCCACTCACTCACCCGCTCGCTCACTCACTCAACCACTCACTCACCCACTCACTCAACCACTCACCCACTCACTAACCCACTCACTCACCCACTAACCTACCCACTCACTCACCCACCCACTCATCCACTTAATAACCCACTCACTCACCCACTAACTCACCCAATCATTCACCTACTCACCCTCGCACTCACCCACTCACTCATCTACTAACCTACCCACTCATCTACTCACCCACCCATCCATCCACTCAATAACCCACTCACTCAGCTCCACGCACTTACCCACTCACTCACCTATCACTAACGCACTCACTCACCCACTCACTCATCTACCCACTCAACCACTCACTCAGTCACCCACTCACCCAACCACTCACTCACCCGCTCAATCATTCACCCAACCACCCACTCACTCACCCGCTCACTCACACCACTCACTCACTCTCCCACCGACCCACTCACTCACTGATTCACCCATCCACTCACTCACCTGTCCACTCACTCACCGACTCACTAATCCATTCACTCACCCACTCACTCACCAACTCACTCAACCACTCACTCACCCATCACTAACCCACTGACTCATTCACTCACGCACTCACACATTCACTCACATACTCACCCACTCACCGAGTAACCGACTTGCTCACTCACTCACCCATCCACCCATTCACTCACTCACCCATCCACTTACTGACCCACGCACTCAACCACTCTCTTACCCATCACTAACCCACTCACTCACCCATCACTAACCCACTCACTCAGCCACTCACACACTCATCCACTCACTCACCTATTCACCCCCTAACCCAACCACTCACTCACCCACTTACTCACCCACTAACTCACCAAATAATTCACTTACTCACCCTCCCACTCACTCATCTACTAACCCACTCACTCACCCATCACTAACTCACTCACTCACCCACTCACCTATCCACTCACCCACTCACTCACCCACTCATTCACCTATTCACCCACGCATTCACCAACCACTCACCCACTCACTCACCTACTCACCCACTCAAAAACCCACTCACTCACTCACCTACCCACTCACCCACTCACTCACCCACTCATTCACCCACTCACTCACTCATCATACTGTGTGTGTGTAGCATCACAGCGACATCCGCAGGATTGATCGGGGCAGGCCAACCAGACCCGAACCACGAACCTCTGCACCTGACCCCTGCTGATCCCCTCCTCCTATCCTCCGCCGTGTGTGCAGGGGACGTGGACCCCTGGAGGGAACTCAGTGTGGTGGCCCCCTTCAGGGGGTCCGCGGTGAAGACTCTGACTGTGAGGGGAGGGGCACACTGCTCCGACACCAACCCCAGCCTCTCCCGGGACTCTCCCGCACTCACGCAAGCCAGGAAGGTGGGAAGAAGGGGAGGAGAGGGGGAGTGGCAAGGTGGAACGGGGGGTAGGAGAACGGGGTGGAGGAGGAGGAAGCAAGATGAGCCTTACATAGATACAAACCTAACTAAAACTATTTTTATTTTATTTTACCAGGTAAGGCCCCACTGAGCAGTGTAGCTCTTTTTATCAGAAGCGACCTGGCCATCACAAATGATAGGCCAACGAAGTGGCTGATATCATCATCACGTGGAAATTAATAGTTAATAGCAGCAGCCAAATCCCATGATGTAGCTGCCAACCCCGAGCTCTCGATGTCCTGATAGTGCATTGTATTTGTGCTGTTCGCCTTTTCCCGTCCTCTGGTCTAACACTGTTTGAGACTAGGCTCTAAAGAAAGCTGTCTCTGGTGTGGACCAATCAGTTTCAAAGACAATGCATTATATACTTCCGGAGCATTTTTTTTTTTGCACGTTCGCCAAAAGTATATGTGGTTAATGCAGTTCATGATTCCTTGCAAAAGGTTTCAGTTTGGTGTTTTAACATCTTAACACCTCCTGTTTTATTGCCAGAAAGGGTAAAGCCTATTCTTATAGCCAAATACTCTAAACGCATGTTTCTACAGACTCCTAGAGACCCACAGAGATCCAGAGACCCAAATAGAACCATATAGACCCACAAAAACCTACAGAGACCCATAGAGACACATGCTCATCGAGACCCTTATTAAAACCACATGCACCGATCCGCAGCAGGAACCCATTTGAGGCTTAGTCGACCTTGTGGAGGCCCATACACAAGCTCGTGCTCTCTCTCTCTCCCCCTCCCCTCTCTCTAGGCTATCGGACAGCAGCTGGAGGCCTGGCTCCGGATGTCACGTGACCTCTGAGCTGGGACTGCATTGCAGGGCAGCTCGGCCCTGATTGGCCGACGTGGAGGGGGGGGGGGGTGATCACGTGACCTTTTAACTGTGACGTCAACCGCAGGGCAGCTAGGCCCTGATTAGCCGACGGGGGGGGGGGGGGCAGTCATGTGACCTCGGCTCAGATTGCCGAGGGACCTGCGAACAAATGGCGCCCCGTTTCCACCCCTCGCCATTCCCACCTGGAAACTTCCCGAATCGGCTTCCAACCAGGTTGACAGCTGCGGTGAGTCGCAGGCAAGGCTGTGGAGCTGGTTGGTGCTGAACCTCACCCAACCATCTCACCCAACTCTCTCACTCAACCGTCCCACCTCACCTCACCCAACCCCTCTCACCTCACCTCACCCAACCCTCTCTCACTTCACCTCACCCAACCCTCCCATCTCACCTCACCCAACCCTCTCAGCTCACCTCACCCAACCATCCCACCTCACCCAACTCTCTCACCAAACCATCCCACCTCACCTCACCCAACCCCTCTCACCTCACCTCACCCAACCCTCCCACCTCACCTCACCCAACCCTCTCAGCTCACCTCACCCAACCATCCCACCTCACCCAACTCTCTCACCCAACCGTCCCACCTCACCCAACCCTCTCACTTCACTTCACCCAACCACCTCACTCAACCCACCAAACTCACCGCAGCCAACCCTATCATCTCAGCTCACCACCATCCCCACCGCTACCGCCCTGCTTTACGCTTGAAATAACATCGCGATTCCTGCCGAGGGTACTTCCGAACCGGTTTTAACCGGTTTCTAGGGTATCTGATTTGATAATGTGCCTTAAATTAAATGCTGCTCGAATCTTCGCTTCCAGTCAATCAAGGGGAGGAGAGGAGGTGGAGGAGGGGCAGGAGGGGAGGTGGAGGAGGGGCAGGAGGGGAGGTGGAGGAGGGGCAGGAGGGGAGGTGGAGGAGGAGGACGAGGGAGAAGTGGGTGGAGAAGAATAGGGTAAGGAACTTGGAGGCTGTGCAAGTGGCTGTGATTGGCTCAATAAACGCGCCTGTAGTTACACCATCGCCGTCTCCCTCCCTCTGTCTCTCCACTTGCGCGGGCGTTGGCCGCTACGGAAGGAGCTGTGTTTGGCTTCCAACTGCACCACTGCGCGGATATAAGTGAGTTGGTGAGTGAGTCGGTGAGTGAGTGGGTCAGGAAGAGTCCGGAAAAAGCAAACCCCTACCGCCTCGGTGGTTGCTGGACGATAATGCTGTGGAGTCTGTGAACAATGCCATTGGGGGGGAGGAGGGAGGAGGAGAGGGGGAGGAGGATAGCCTGTTAACCCTCATGGTGCTCGTAGCCACCATGGGGGCTCTGGACGGGTGCAAGGGGCTAGTGACCCCTGAAACTTCAATTCAATGACCACGAAACCACGTAAAAAATATCGAACTAACTTGTGCCGGAGGCCCCGGGAGGACAGGTGTCTTTAAAGTTTCCTGGCCAAACCCGATTTAGCAAAGCCAGGAGACTCAACCCGTATCCTTGGGGTTCCTCCAGAAATGGCAAAAGGCCACTGCAAGTGGCTATTTACAATGTTTGAATGCTTATTGCGGAGAAGAGGCTGCCACTTCTCTGTCTGTAGCTGGACCGGTACCGCCTGGATCTAAGTGGTATTCATGAGATCCGGTGGACCGGTTCTGGCACCAGTCACCAGGAAACTGCCAAACAAGAGGGAATGGCTCTTCTTCTGAACAAAATAATGGAGGTATGGGAGAATGGTGGTGAGGTGTGAGAAGCTATGAGTTTCACGATAATGTGGGCTTATCTTCCCATCAATGGGCGGCAATGAATGTTGGTGGTTGGTTATGCCCCAACCAAATATGAACATCAGTGGAGAGATGTAGGCAAGGCCGATAAGTCAGATGCCTTCCATGACCTCCCGCCACAGGTGCTAGCAATATTGGCCCCTTGGGATAGACTAATGCTGTTCAGTGACTTTCATGCCCGAGTGGGTCATGATGGTGGCACCAGGGCTGGAATGATTGGAAGACATGAGCCAGATAGGCTCAATAACAATGGTTGAATTATGCTAGACTTCTGTGCAGTTCATAGGCTTCTAATTACAGCTGTTCCTGCATCGGCGCATCTACACAACATTATCGATGTACGCCGGGTACAAGCAAGAACATCTGCTGGACTACATTGTTACGGAACAGTGGATGTGGGCCATGTCCTTGACACCAGGACATGGAGCTGATCTGCCCACTGACCATCGGGTTGTCATCTGTAAGATGTGCCTGCCATTCTTCCACTACAGTGGTGGGTGTCCATTTAGGACCCCATTCAAACCCACAATGGCTTGGTAAAAGCTAGCTGATAAAAGTTGCAAGCAAGAATTTTATCATTGCTTACAGCTGGGTTTGGCACCATTCGCCCTCCTCTGGATGCTGAGGGGAATTGGGTGAGGTTAAGGACTGTGGCTCATGCAGCTACAAAAGCTGCTTTGGGTATGCCGTCCAAACGTCCCCAGAGACTCTGGCTGATGGAGGAGGTGATCTGGCTGGCTGAGAAAAAGCAATAGGCCCACTCCTACCATCTACAGCATCCCACGTCAGAGAATGAGGAGGCTTACCGCAGCTTTCACTCATAGGTTCGGAGAGCCATGCGCCACTGCAAGGATGAGTGGTGCTTACTGGTTGCTGAGCAAATGGAAGCTGCCTCAGCCACCCGCGATGACAAGTCACTCTTTAATTCCATAAGAATAGTAACTTGCAGCTTCACACCTATCACCATGCTAAGAGGAAAAAAAGGTGATCTGATCTTCGACCCCCAGGAACAGGTTTGCAGATTTGCTGAACATTTCTCTGAGGTCTTGGGGAAGGGGATATCCCTTAGCCAAGAACAAATCATGGGACACAGTGGGGATGACCCTAAGGCTGCAGTATTGGAAGAAGTCACCGCCTGCAAGTGGCTGGCTGAAGTGTCATTTGTTGAAGAAGTACAGAAGGCGATCCAGAGTCTGAGACCAGGAAAAGTGCCAATTAGATATAATCTCCTAAACGAACTGCTGAGGAAGGGTGGCAATTATGTGCAGACTGCCATAAATTACATCATTATAACAGCCCACAGGATGGGGAGGATGCCCTGATGGTCCCCCTCTTTAAGAAGGGGGACCACATAGACTGTAACAACTACATGGATATCTCCCTCCTCAGTATGTTGGGAAAAGTTCTGGCAAAAAATATTCAACACCGCCTTGCGATGCTTGCTGATGAGAGCCCCAATGTGGTTTCAGGCCAAGGCAGTCCTGCACAGATGCCATATTCTCTGTCTGCTACAGCCGAGGTGTCGGGAATTCCAACAGGACCTAAGATCTCTGTTTTATTGACCTGGTCAAGGCCTATGATACCATAAACAGACTAAGACTCTGGGTTTTTCTTCATGCTTTCAGAATTGCTATCTCTCTGCTCACAAGTGTAGTAGGTCAATAACTAGAGGAGAGTCTTTCTGAGGCAACATGTATTTTATTAACAACTAGCTTTACTACCAGCCTCGCCCGGGACTTTGATTATTGTCTTGGATTAATATGTTGTGTGGTGAATGACGACTCGGAGGCAGGTTTCCAGGTAAGGGCTTGTGCCGGTTTATTAACACAAGGGAGCAATAACCGCACCAGAGGTAGGTGCCCCTACACTGGGTCCTTCACGGGGACCTCGGCTATATCTGCTGCTAGCGCAGCTATCTCTCGCTCTCTCTCTCGAGTCGGGACGGGGGCTCAACCAACACCGCCCGACCAAGGAGAGCAGCGCCCCACCTAACCCTAGCTGGCTCGTGCAGACCTCTCCCAGCCTTACCCCTGGCTATCTCTTCAACCGCTCTCCATCCCGGGCTCCCACAACGACCCCCCTTTCATCACGGGGCCCCCCTTAAGTACCCCCAGGTGACATGACGTCCTCGCACCTCACAGCGCGTATGACGTCATGTCTCCATACTACTCTACAAATACACGGCCTACGCGTTGGGTTGGGGGGGGCGATGCGTGACGTCAGCAGGCACACTGTGTAATGGCTGCCACATGCGGGGTGACATCACAGATGTGACGTCACCGCTCACTTGCCGTGCAATATATATCCATTATTGCGCCCCCCCCCCCAAATACAAAAGTCTATTTTTATACTTTTTGCATTGTGTACATTCTGGAAGCTACCCACATGCTAAATTTCAAGTTTGTTGCATGTTGGAAAGTATGCTAAACATTTCGAACAGACCTATATATATACATAAATCCCTAACATAAATGGGGTAACGGCCCCTTACACCCGATACACTGAGGAGGTAGTCCTTCCGTACTAATACGCCTCTCGCTGGCTATTCTAACCTTTCTTGAGTGAAGCTTGGTCTTCACTGGTATATAAGCTGGAGCCGACCCTTTCCAGGGGTACGGCTCTGCCCTTGGGCTCGTCTCTTCAGGAGGCTCTTGGTCTTCGGGTGGATGGCGACTGCCGGGGCCGTTTAGAGGTCCTGCTTTTATACAGGTCCGTGGCTTGCTCCGCCCCGGCCACACCTTCCTTCCAGAACCTTCCGCCAGGTCCTGGGAGGGTGACGTCATCCCCCAGCCCCCTCCTGGGGTCTGCGTCCCTGAATCCACTACCTCATAGGGGTTACCGTTGGTCCCTTTGGCCATAGTCCTTGGACACTGGGCTCGGTCACTCTTCTGCCCCCTATTGACACGTGTGGGATACTACCAGCTGACAGCATGGGGAGTGCACAATAATACCTCCACACAAGCATTAAGGACCTTCATGATGGTGGGCAGGCCTGGGTAAAGCTTGGTAGCTAGGAGTCAGAGCCATTCTCTGTTCACTTTAGGGTGCGACAGGGATGTCTTCTGGTACCTACATTATTTAACATCGTTTTCAACAACGTAGTTCAAGACGCCTTCCATGGTTTTACCAAGTGAATCTCTATCTGGTACAGATACAATAGTAGGCTGATGGATGCCCAGTTGTGGTCGAGGAATGGATCTCTTTTATATAACCATGTTATGTGTACTGATGATCTGATGATTGCTGCTCAATCAGAGAAGGAGTTGGAGGCACTGCTGCTTGACCTGGACCATGCTACTAAGAAGCAGGGCCTTATCATCAGCCCCTCAAAATCTGCAGTCCATTTTCTGCAGTCTTTTTGTTTGAACTTCAGTATTACATATCCATATACAGTATTTCAATGATGCGATCCCATCCAGTGTTATCCTTCCCAATTGTTGCATTCCAGTCTCCCACTAGTATCGTAATAGCTTTTGCCCAACCCTCTTTTTTATCCAGGCTTGGGACTGGCTCACATATCCACTGTATTGTGAACTCCCGAGGTGGAATCGACCACTTACCCAAAGACAAGGATCCCCCGTGTAGCCTTAACAGACTTGAGACACTGCTGTTAGTCGCGAGCAAAGCCTGTGAAGGTCTGCACTGCGGCACACGAAGGGGTGGGTGGCCAGTACCACACCCAGCCATCTTTGTCTTTCTAGTGGCGATGTTCACACATCGCAACCAGGTATATTCATTTGATGCTAAGTCGACCTTGGGGAGGCCCCAGGACCATGAGCAGGAATCGAAATTGGGTCGCCGGGTTCGTAGCACATTGCTAACCACAAGACCACCACTCCCCACACATCAACCACCAATCGCCACTAAGTGGTAGTTAGGGGCCATCCATTAATGACGTCACGCACCTGGGGGGGGGGTCAGACATTTGTGACGATGTGTTACAAGGGGGAGGGGGGGTTGAGAAATGTGACGTCACATCAAAATGCGCAACTTGAAATAAATATAGACAACACGTTCTACTTAATTAAATCGACTTTTTAATACATGTTATCTCCTACAACATCAGATTGCAGCGCCACATTAAATACGTACTACAATGACAATAGTTAAAGCGATTTG